AAAAAAAATTAATTACAGAAATGAGTAACGCAAAAATTAATGAGATTATCCATTTTTTATGTTACTTGCTTTTCAGCAAATTGCATTTCACCTTAAGGCCGTTTCAACGCATAATGAAAGCGAAATGAATAAGCCAAACCAAACTAATCTAAGGAATTCGGCTATAGTATATTGATAAGAATGGTTTAGTATTTCTTCGAACTGATTAGATTTTTCTATTAGAAAAGTATACTAAAAAACCAAGTCAAATTTGATTAGAAAAGTATAGTAAAAACCAAATCAAACCAAACCAACCCATGAACACCTAACTTTGTTTTTGAAATGCCAATAACTTAAGTAGCCTGTGGTAATCTCTTTTCTAAATAAAGCAAAGAGATTTTGAATTTGAGTTGTATAATATGTAGATAGAATGAATTAAACAATATAAGAAAATTGCTTTTTATTGTACAAGTCAAAATAAAAAAAAAAATAAAATGTTTGTTTTTGGGTAGAAGGTGCAATTGCCCCTCAATATTTTCTCTAGTTCAAAGAAATTAGCACCTAAAAAAAAAGAGAGAGAAAATGATTGGTACCCATTTAATTCAATACACTTTTTGACACTCATCTCAATTTAACTATTAAAATATAATACAAATACAACTAATTTAGTTGATTTTTATATCCTATATGCATAGTTATATTTTAAATTTCTTTTGTTTTTAATTTCATACCTGAAAATAGTAATTATTTAATAAATGTATTGTGTAACATGTTGAATTAATAGCAAATTGTCACCATAAAATTTCATTTTAGAGAAATTGGCTCAAATTTAATAGCTAATGTTACACAATTATGTTTCCATTAAACTACTATACTTGGAGTCTAACACAAAAGTTGACATCAATTGTTAAATTTAAGCTGTGCTTATCTGTTTTAACTAAAAAATATTATGGAACAATTTACATTTGGCCTTGTTTTTCAAACACAACTTAAGATGTTCTAACATATTAGAGACCATTAACCTTCCTTGAAACCACTAAGGGGTATCCTAAATGATTAAAAAATTAAGATTTCAATTTAAAGATGTCAAATTTAAATCTTGAGATAGGTGGAAAGTTTTTCAGAAAAAAGGAAAGTATTACGTCCACTATTTTTCTACTATATAATTTATCTTTTGACGTAGAAAAATAAAAACTAACATTCTTCAATTCTATTGTAGCAACTTTCCAATTACAAAGGTCATATTGCAGCGTTTACTTTCTTTATCTATTTGTAACGTTACATTTAGTTTTAGGAATTAGATTTATTCTTTCTTTTCTCCACCATGTTGGAATTAGATTTAGTTTTGGGTGCATATAAGAGATTTGACCTTATAATATCTGTATTATCTTTCTCAACGATAAGTTAAGAAGAAATTGCATTTTTTTCATGATAAAATCCAGGACTGGATATTTTATGCGGTTGATCATGATGAATGGATTAGAAAACACATATAATTGTTGTTAATTAGCTAGAATATAATTGGTAAAAATAATAATGTTCCTGAGTCCGGGCTTTTGATCAGAACGTTCAAAACTCAAAAGGAAGAAACTACTACGTACTTTAGTAATCCTTTTCAGTTTACTTGTATTTCATTAAGGGTCCGCATTTACTACGGAGGGTGGATGACTGATAACCACGGCCGCCGTATTAAACAAGTTAAAAATTAAAAGAACAAAAATAAAAAAGAAGAGCTAGAGTTGACCCCCAGAGGCCCGGGTCACGGCCGCTGCTGGACGGTGGTTGGTTTTTAAAAGTTGGCTCGCGCCCGCCGGCCGCCAACTGTTGCTCAGCATGGGAGACCAGACTTCATGAATATACTCCCTCAAATTCTCATTAGTACTATATATGCATAGTCTCTCTAGCATCTAACGTTAGCAAAGGCCAAAAAAGAAGTCAAAAGATATCAAACACGTTGCATCCATCATCATGCTTAACTAATCAAAAATTCTAACAGTAGTGCCAACAGCTAGGTCCCTTATATATACATGAAGCTTTTAATGTCAAAAAAATTAAAACTGTAATTATAGTCAGTACGGTTAAATTAAAACTTTTTAATATGTATGTGTGTAAAATAGTTTTATTATAAATAATTGATAAGGTATGGCATATTATCGATCAAGTTATGAGTGCAATGAAAATATACATTAAATTTTATTCTCTTTAAAATTAGTTTCGTTAAATTATACATATACAGTACTATTGTACATGAAATCAAATCTGATGGCAAGTGTAAGATTCTTGGTTTTGCTCAGCCAAGATCCTCCCATTTGGCTATGGCTATTGCATGTCAATGGGGGGCTCAAAACGGTGGTGCAAGATTAAATTTTGTAAGATAGTTGCACATATTTGTGTATTTTTGATATTGTTTGTTAGTATTCATTTTTTGTAGCAATTAGCTACTCTATTATATTGTATTATTACTTTGGATAAATAAAATTCACATTTTATTCAAAAAAAAAAATTATACATATATCAATCTTAAGAAATTCACATATCTATCTTAAAATTCAATTGGTTGATCCACAAACTTAAAGAGAAATTTTAATTTTACAACGGATTTTTTTATGTGAAACATATGCTACAGTATATGTATACAATGCAAACCAACACTTAGAAAGTAACAATAACAAATTACAAACTGGACCTAAACTCTCAAAAAAGAAGATTCGCCCCTATAACTTCAAAGTTTTTAGTGTCTCAGCTCTACACAACTCGAAAGGCCTCATTAGTATTAAGGAATTTTTAGAAAAGGATTTTACTAATTCAGGCAATTTGGAGAGGAGAGTCAAGTGTAAACCTAACGATTTGGCAAATTAACTAATTGATGAGAACTAAACTTTGTAAGAAATTAATTGATCAATTTCCCTAAATGGAATTAAATCTCATCTGCAATTAACTATATTTGTGGCTAATTTTTTACCCAATTATATATTTGTCTCCTATCTAACCTAATTTTACACTAAACAATTATGAACACCACACAAAAAATGGCTATTCTAAGAAATTCCGGAGTAACGAATCAATTT